TGTCATCAACAGCGCTATCAAGCAGCACTTGCTCAGCAATAACCTGCTCAGTGACGCCCAGTTTGGGTTCTGCCAGGGCCAATCAGCTCCTGACCTCATTACAGCCTTGGTTCAAACATGAACAAAAGAGCTGAATTCCAGAGGTGATGTGAGAGTGACAGCCCCGAACAAAAAGGCTGCATTAGACCATGTGTGGCATCAAGGAGCCTTAGTAAAACTGGAATCAAAGGGTATCGAGGGCACACTGTCTGGTGGTTAGTCATACCTGACACACAGGAAGACAGTTGTGGTTGTTGGAGGTCAGTCATCTTAGCTCCAGGACATCTCTGCAGGCTTTCCTCAGGGTTGTGTCCTCAGCCCAACCATCTTCAGCTGCTTCATCAATGACCTGCCCTCCATCATTAGGTCAGAAGTGGGGATGTTGACCAATGATTACACAATGTTCAGCACCATTCGTGACTTCTCAGACACTGAAGCAGCCCATGTCCAAATACAACAAGATCTGGACAATATCCAGGCTTGGGCTGACAAGTGGCAAGTAATCATCATGCCACACAAAAGCCAGATAATAACTATCTCCAGCAAGGGAAAATCTAACAATTACTCCTTGATTTTCAATGGCGTTACCATAACTGAACCCCCCACTGCCAACATCCTGGAGGTTACCATTGAACATTGAAACTTGTAGGGGCTGGTGTTTCCATGCATCTGCTGCCCTTGTCTTTCTAGCTGGTAGACATCAAGGAAAGGTGCTGTTGAAGGAGAATAGTGAGTCACTATTGAATTGAATTGAAGTAGCTTCATTGTCACATATACTGAAATGCATACAGTAAAAAGTTTACAAGTTGCCACTTACAGCGCCATCTTAGGTACAAGGTAGCTAGGTACAGATTCTTCAGTACAAGTTGTTAGGAAAAAAAATTAGAAAAATAAAGAAATAAAAGGCCAAGCATTACTGATCAAAGGATTAATTTAGAAAAATAGAGAAATAAAATGTTCAGAATAACAGTCCTCCCAACCCAGTCCACACTGGGACCTTCCCTCCAGTCCGTGCCAGGCATTGAATCACGTCTAGGCCAGAAGTCCATGCTCAACGCCACATCTAGCTGCCAGGATAACGCCACACTGGGCTGAGAGAAGCCACGCAGAAAGACTGCCATGGGCCGCTGAAAGACCACCACACTGAGCCGAAAGACCACCATGGGCCGCCGAGAGACCACCACACCAGGCTGAGAGGATGCCTCGCCAGGTCAGCACTGAGGCTGACAGTTGGAGTCCACATTGAGGCCGGAAGTCTGCGCTGAGGCCAGGTGTTCAGGAAATCAACAAGAAGAAAGAAGAGAAAAAATAACACAAAGGAGAAAAAGAGTACCAGACAGGGCAGACAAACTCTGGCTGAAGTGTCCTACATTGCCACGGCTAAAGTACATCTTGTAGATAGCACACACAGCTGCCACTATGTGTCAGTTGTGAAGCAAGTGAATTCTGAAGGTGGTGAATGGGTTGACAATCACGTGGGTTGCTTTGTCCTAGATTATGTCAAGCATCTTGAATGTGGTTGGAACTGCACTCATCTAGACAAGCAGACAGCATTGCATCACACTGCAGACTTATGCCTTGGAAATGGTGAACAGGGATTGGAGGTGAGTTACTCGCCACAGAATTCCTGGTCTCTGACCTGCTCTTGTAGGCATTGTATTAATGTGGCTGGTCCTATTCAGTTTCTGGTCAATGGTAAACCCCCCCAGGATACTGATCATGTAGGACTACATTAATGATGTGTTTAAATTGAATTGTTTAAAAAATTAATGAATTTTTATCAATTTTTCCCCAAATGAATAAGAGAGTTATTATGATGATATGAAGGGATGTTCAGCTCTCCTGCTTTTAAACACCCTTAGCTGAACAGAGTTTCCTAATTTTTTTAGCATCTTGGTATAGTATACTTAGGTTAAAATGAAATATGAGTCAAAATTAAGGAGTCTATTACAAGGTTTTCCTGAGTGGAAGAAAGAAGAATTTTATTACATACTGACCCCAAGGTAAATATTAGAACACAACATCAAACATACAGACAAACACAGTTTTAATGTTTAAAAAGGGGAGAGTGTTTAGAACAGAAAGGAATACAAAGTCTAAAAAAAAATTCTAAGAGTCCTTAAGGTATTGGGTCTTTACCTGAGACCACAGCTGCTTAATTAATTAATTGTATCTTTCAGCACTGACAACATTTATAGATACTCTTGCGTTCTCAATGAATGGATATTTCTCCAATTTGATTTATCACCAAACACTATTTTTGAGAGACAGAGAGGCAGGGATAAAGAGCGCAAGCCTTCCAGTTCTGCTGTTATGAATCCATCATTGTTCTCCCTGCTCTGTCCCAAAAGCTGTTGTCTGAAACAGAATTCCTTTGTGCATTCCCATGCATGGTTTCATTGTTTTCCCCAAGCTAAATAATCTGCAGGTCACTTTCATTCTCATATGTGAAACTACCAGAAAGATGTAACTCAACTTCAGATACAGCTCTGAATGATTGCTATTAGTCATTTTCATAATACGTTAATTTCGGTTCTGACCAGATCTTGGTTATTGATCAAAACTGAAAGAACTGCGGATGCTGTAAACCAGAAACAGAAACAGAAGTCGTTGGGAAAACTCAGCAGGTCTGGTAACCTCTTTGAAGAGGAATCAGAGTTAATGTTTTGGGAAAATCTGAGCTTTTCCAGCAACTTCTGCAATTTTTTCTTGTTTATTGATGGTTTTTAGGATAATAGTGAACATAGTTTTTCGATATTCAACTTCCATCATTCAATTTTAATTCGTGAGATCAACCTTCCCTGTAATTATTCTTGCTGCTGCATGGACCTCCATAGTGAGTTCAGAAGCAGAAGTCATGCATTGACACATCAACCTATGAGCATGGATCTATGTAGCCTTGCAACTTCGATGGATCATTGCCCTGAGACCTTTCATGAATTAAAGATAGTTTTAAAGAGGACAAAAACTGTCCAAAAATGGCTGATGTGATTGCCTGACTAGTTTGTGCCACGCTTATAAAACCATCAGTAAACAATGATCTATCTCAACTGAAATTAGCATCAGTAAACAATGATCTAAACTGAAATTAGCATCATTATGGAAAGACAGAGAAACTCAGGTCTGTATCTCCCAGTTGATTGACACCTTTCTAGAAGTTACACTTTGAGATTATCTGTGGAGTATTAAACTTTAGGGGGAAAAAAATGAACTGACTTGGGAATATATAAATAGACCTCTATTGATAGTTGCTTCTGGGCAGCAGAGGAGAGACCAGGATAAATGAATTTTGAAGCAAGACTGGAATTTATCCTCTCTGCCTATCCATACACCTCTCTCTCTCTCTCTCTCTCTCCTTTTCTCTCACCTCACACCCCAACCCCACACCCCCACGCCTCTTCTTCAAGCTCAAAATTCAGTGCCCAGTGACAAAGCAACTTGGTAAATAACCATACATTGAGAACTCAAGAAGAAACAAATCAAATGCTGAAGAAACAAATCAACAACTAAATATTTGGGACTTGGATCATTCTTACAACTCAAGCATTATAAGAACTTCAAAATTGCAATTGTCTTTACCTCTTGTCTGTACTAGCTGAGTTTTCTGGATGGCTGGTTTACATTGCAGAGTCATGCAGAGCAACAATGTGGGCTCAATTCCTGTACTGGCTGAGGTTACTGTGAAGGGCTGTCCTTCTCAAACTCTCCCCTCGCCTGAGACATGGTGACCATCAGGTTAAACCACCACCGGTTGTCTTTCTGTAATGAGAGAGCAGTCCTATTAACTGGTAAGATGATGATGACTTTACCTTTACCAGAGACATCCTTCCCCTAACTTTCTCTGTATGTTTGTTACCAATGTCTTTGTGTGTTCGATGTCACTTTTTGGGGACAGGGATATTAGGCAATAAAAGCCCTTTCTTTTATTCAAGATAAGTGTGTAATGATTTGGCTCCTTCATGTTACTCTGGTTAAGTTTTAAACATGCTAGGGGATAACAGGTTTTATGACTATGTTTTAACCTGTTCATGTGACCACTGCAGTCATCTTGAGTCAATGCATTATCACTTTTTTTAAACTATTTTAGTCCATGAAAGGTTCCAGGTATTAAAGTAAGATGATGGAAATCAAAAATTGATAGTGTAAAAATAAACTATCAAAAGTGGGCTGGATTTCCCAACTTTTTGGCAAAGTATTTTTATTTTCATGAGATTCATGGTCGCCAATCCACCATATCTCATGTTGATTTTTCTTATGCAACAAACCTATTCTGTGCCCATCTAAGGAGGGGTGGAAATGCTCAAATGGAAATGCTACTTGAACTTTACGAAGTTCACGCCACTGGCGCCTGCTCCACCACACTTCAGATGCTACAAGCTAGGGGTTGGGTTTCACACTGTACTGCTGCACCATTATTAGTGCGGAAATGGCCAGAAAGGGAAGCTGGCACCCTATTTCCCGTACAGGCACCTGGAAGTGCTGTGGGACAGAGTGGCGGAAAGGCAAGCCATTCATTTTCCAGCTGACTGGAAAGGTGGCCACACCCTATATGTAGCATGGACAGAGGTAGTGGTCTTGGTCAGTACAGTCTCCCGGGATAAATGCAATGCCAAGCAGTGCCCAAAAATGTAATAAGCTTCTTCACTCCACAAGGGTGAATGCCAACATTTACTCTCTTCTACCTATTGCTCACAGCCCACCACTCACTCAAACTCTGCCACTTACATGTCTCTCAATAAAACTAATGGACCACAATTCTCACCATTGTGTGCAGCATGTCCACTCACCAACTCTCATCCACCTCATCCTCCCAAGCTACTAACCCTTCCTGCCCTGTGCACTTCCTCACCGGGAGTTCACTCACTGAGGACACCTCACCATCTGTCCAGCCCCTGTATCACTACTAATTGATCTCCCATCCATTTATATTCCACTCAGACACTCATTTTCTCTTGTTGCAGGAAAGAAATGTCTCACAACCAGTTGGAGAAGAATGGCAGATATTAGATTCCTAACCCAAATGAGGAAAAATCGTGCTGAAGTTGGCTGAAAAGAACACAACACTCATTTGGGAACCCAGATAATGGTGAACCAACCGAACAAGCTTCATTGCTGTGCTACTTTCCCATTAGCACCAATGCTAACTCATTCTTAAACTGAATAAACCTGCATCCCTTTTGCAGAACTAATTTCCTCCCTTCTCTTATGCAGGTACTAGTGGCATGCAGAAAATCTCTGCAAAGAAGAAGCCAGCATTGCTGACCTTCAACACCACTTCCATCTCTGAGGAGGAAGCCACGCAACCCTCAGATGATGCAGCAATAAGGCTTTCACCTGAACCCTCTACCAACTCTGAGGGTTTTATTTGAATGTGTTCTCTCATAGTTTAGACTTGGGAGCACAATCAGGTGAGCGCGTCAATGACAAATCTCTGCAGCCAGTCAAGGAAGAAATGCTCCAGAGTCTCTGGCTCTCAAAGCACTGCTGGAGACCGTGCACCTGCTTAGCTGCAAGTAGAAGACGATCCTATAGTTGGCTAATAATAACTTAGTCAAACCGCAAGACAGGTACAGAACAGCAGGAAAATCAGAGGCATTGACTAAACTAGGACAAAAGATGGAGGACCCCACCAATAGTATTAGTACTCAAATGGCCGTTTCCCCCATGGACAGATTGGTAATCGCCATAGAAAGCCAGGTCCAGCATACTCAGGCTTTTATGTGCACATAGACCTGCGCTTTATTATGCTCTATTGTTGTTGCCAAAGCTGCTCAGTATCAAAGGTAAGGTGAGAAGGGAACATGGCACTTCATCCTCATTTCAGATGCCCTTTCTTCTCAAGGAGACAGTGTACTGCCAACAGGCATCTATGGGGAGGAGCACTTATACACAGGACCCACAAAAACATCCTTTCAGGAGAATCCAAGGTGCCCAGCTACTTCACCCTCCAGCACCGCCAACAAGGACAAATACAGAGCTGACTCCCTCCACCTTAGCTGTGAAAGTCTGAACTGCACTTAGACATAGTGAGAGAGAAAGGAAGAAAATATTAACTGAGAACATATAGGTGGCACTTTTTGTAAATGTATGATACTTGTCTTCTTAAGAGTCTGTGACAGTGCCTTCATTGACCATTTCTGACACACCCCAGACTGATTTGCCAGGACAGCCCCAAATGAGACTGGCTCACTCCCCAGACTAATGCCTCCACCAGTACCCTGACAGGTGTACCTGTGATCCCCGCGAATTGGTTTCATTTGATTTGCAAGACTGATCTGTGGCTCAATCCCTGGACAATAAGGACATAGATCCCTGGATTCTGATAGGATCGAGCACCAAACTGACTGTGGTCAAATCCCTGAATGGAGTTTGGACAAGCCTCTTGACTAACTGTGGGGGCACCCTGTGACTGAGTGTTATCCCATTTGACCCTGTTAAGGACTGATTCCTTTTGACTTAGACATGAGTATTTAGTTGAAGCACATGGAATATGTTTAGTACATAAGTCACTAGCATATGCTGTAAGTGTAACATTGTCATAGCACAGTGTCATACAATATTCTGTCCACCACTTTTGTGGTTCAGTGCTCTGAAACATGACAAGCTACCTGCCTCTCTCATTGTGTTTTAAGACAATGCAAGCCACAGAGGTTGGTACCCTGTAAGTTAGAAGTGAATAGCTTATGCGCTGAAAAATAACACAAACCACAGAGACCTGCATCTTCAAAGTAAATGCCAAGTGAGTCAGCACTGAGAACTTAAGTCAAGAGCCTTAAGATGCATCATATGTGGATGAGTGTGTGTGTCCACGTAGACAAAACAACCTGGCAGAAGGATGCAAGTCATGTGGCCCCGAGCTCCAAACCAATGTCTGGAAGGGCTGAAGTGGTCCAGAAGTAGCCATAATATTGTGGTGAGGCTAGATGTTTGGCAATACCCACTTTCATGGATGAAGGATGGAACAGGACAGTATCTACAGAGAATGCAGTGATGTTTTAGGAAAGACAGCATTATCTGATAGCCCTAAGAAGTAAGTTGTGAATTACTGCACCCAGTAACTAACTGGCTGGCATATGTTTCCAAACAGATCCACATCCTGCTAGTTTCAGTGCAGTTCAACAAATTATCTCTAATATCAGAGATCCAAGTCTCTTCAGCTTTACCTTATCAAAAGATTTTTGCAGATCTTCTTTCTAATGTTGAAAAAATGTTCAAGCCCTTTAAAGTCAGTCTTTTTAGACATCTTACAACATACGTTTGAGCCAGGTAGGAGTTGGACCCAACCTCATTCTGGCCCAGAGGTACAGACACTATTACTACACCATAAGAAACCCTCAAAATAGATACTTACAAAAAAACAACCTGTTCAAATACTTTATAGCACACCTCTGGAACAAGTGGGACTTGAAACTGGGCCTCTTGGCTCAGAGTTGGGACACTACCATCGCACCACAAGAGACCCCATTCTAGTTTCTTGGGGAAGGTGCTGAGGCTAAGTTTTAGTAAAGGCCAAATTAAGTAATTTTTTGATAAACAAGGGGGTCAACAGGGCTGGCGGGAAAGTAGACTTGAGATTACAACCAGATCAGCCACAGTCTGATTGAACGTTGGAGCAGACTCAAAGGGTTGAATGGTCTATTCCTGTTCCTAAGTCTCATAGTCCTATTGATATGCCTCAACTTGCACTCATTGTCCTTTGACTGCACCTATTATTCTATTTGCAGTACCTATCACTTCATGGCATTATTTGTGTACCTTGAGAGATACATGCACTAGAATGCCCAGATTTCTGAGTTTCTCCACTTTCTTTTAAGGTTTTCCCCAAAGGATGCATCAGCGGTGAGCACTGGCCCTACATTATAGTTAATGTTTCATTTATTTGAGTTAAATATTATTTGGCAGTCATAAACCCAATCTCCCATCCCGTTAAGATCAATCAGGAGCAGATAACCATTGTCTCCAGTCCAAACGCTTACACAGATCTTATTGTCTGCAAATTTGAGAAATCATGTGCCTAACATCTACAACTGGATCATCATTGAAAACAATATAGATCAACAGTCCCAGCACTGATCCATGTGGGATAGCACTTGTCACATGTCTCTAAGTGGTACCAAACTTGTCTAATGATATTTTTGATTAGGTTCTGACAATAATTTATTGATTCTGGATACCATACAAAGAATTATTTTCAACCTGCATGTCAATGTATACCTTCTAGCTTGAGCTTTTCATCAATTTCACTGAAACTATACCTGACAATGATGAGTTCTGTACTTGACTGTATTAAGGAAGGTTTCCCGACCTTATGTTGGTGACCATCAAGCTGAAATAATAATTACATTCACACCAAAAGATGGAAGATTATGCCAAAATTATGGGGCAAAACACAGTTGAAGTATCAGTTTGTTTTCAGTTCATCACTTTCTGTTTGCTGGTGGGTTTGTTCTCTATGATTTGATGGACAACATTTAATGCATTGCTTCATTCACTAACTGGTGTTAGCTACACAATTGTTGCACTGCCATACGTGCAGCTCGTTGAAATTTTTTAAAAATTTGTTTTCACTGATGAAATATAGATTAACCAAGTCCTGTAGAGAAGGGGACCCCAATCCAGATTATTAATCAGATCAAGTATTAAAACACAATTCACTGAATTGTGCAATGGTGCAACTGCCAGTCAACTGTCTGCTCCAAAATAGCGTCACTAGGAACTTTGAAGTAACAGACATAATACACCTGTTCTCTTTATTTTTGGAAATCAAAGGGCCAAATGTTGTTAATGAGTCATTCAACGCATCACTGAGCTAAGGCCTTCAGTGCTGTGAACGCAAGTCTTTGCTAAATAGAAGTGTGTTGAGATACTGCATTCCTTTTTTTGCAAGCGCTCTGGTATCTCATTAGGGAGAACAGTTCCATATATCATCATAAGAGTTCAGATGCCCTCTTTCCGGGAAAGGCAATATCATGAAAAAATCCTGACCACAACCTACACATATGTAAAGACCTGAGAGCTGAAAGCTGTACAATTCTCACTCAGGCCTTAAAGGGCTTGACATTTTTCAACATTAGGAAAAAGATCTGCAAAAACCTTTCAATAATGTAATGCTGAAGAGACTTAGACCTCTGATATTAGTGATAATTTGTTGAACTGCATTGAGAATTGGCTGGCAGGATATAGATCTGTTTGGAGACATATAACGATTGGAGTCCCATTGAGATCAGTGGTAGGCGGATTGGTCCCTACTATTAATATTGTAAGACCTGAGGTTGATTAGCTTGAAAGGTTGGTTTGTGATGCAGAATGATGCCAACAACAGGTTCAATTTCCATACCATTTAAGGTTACCGTGAAGGTCCTACCTTCTCAACCTTGTCCCTTGCCTAAGGCAACATAACCATCGGGTTAAATTCACCACCAATCATCTCATTCTGATGACAGAGCAACCCTATGGTCCTCTGGGACTTTGGTGACTTTATTGCAAGATCCACAAATTTGCAGATGATAAATGTTCTGATTGTAGACAATGCTGCCTACTTCCAGTTAGTTTCCTGTTATTTCTGAATGTTCTTTGTGTTTTTTTAATGAGTAGACAGTTGAAAATTATTAATTACATGCTTCTGCCAATTTCCATATTCTCCAGAGAAAGCAAGGTGTAGAGCTGGAT